TGCAGAGAAGGAGTCGTAGCCGGTGCTGAGAGCGCGTACGAGAGAGCTGAGTGTATGGAGCAGGAGGAGGAGGAGGAGTAGGTAGAGCCACACTCTTTGCTGCGCATGTCCAGAAATCAGAAAGCATTGCGAGCATTGGACAGGACAACAGATAGAGAGACAAACATGAGGACATACAGACCGACAGCCAGACAGACAGACGGACTGAGAGATGAACCTAGCTAGCAGAGAAGTCACTTTCACTTTCACTTTCTGTGCTGTCTAGTTAGCCTGACATGAATGAGAGTGGGGGGCGGCTGGGCATACAGAGTGGGGGCCTGTGACAAAGGGGTGGCAAGCACATATATCAGCGGGCACGCTTTTGCCCACATGCGAGCATCTTGTAAAGTCAAAATCAATCTATCAATGCGTAAGGGGAAGAAATTGGAACACAAACATTGCCTGTTATAAATATATGTCAGGGGAGTTACGTATTACTTAGGTGTACGATCTGATTTAGGTAATGCAGCTGAGTTGATTACTTAAGCGAGAGTAGGGAATATCATTAAAATATTCTAACTATTACTTAAAATATTCTAACTATTACTTAAATATTTATTTAAGTAGTTATTTGGTTAAGAATAGATTATGACTTTGTAATAAATGTAATAAATGGGTGAGTGGATGACACATCCAAAATGGTTTTTAAGAAATAAAGTATGAAAATACTAAAAGATATATAGTGAATTTGTTGTTAGTTCAGTCAGCAGCTCATATCAAACGCTGATAAAAAAATCCCTTATTCATTTTTTTTTTATCAGTGTTTGATATAAGCTGAGTAAACTCTACAATACGTAAGATTATATTTATAGGAACTTTCAGTATATTAAAAATTTATATTTGCTGGAATATTACATTCAGTTCATTCAATTAAGAATACATTATAATACAACAGTTTTGATGCTTAGATTTACATCAGAAACAGTTGTGCAAAGTAATATGAATAACTAATTGTTAAGGTCAAACAACAGTTGTTTCTACCAACTCTAACTATATTTCAATTTTCCTCAGTCACACAGACTTAGATTATTAAATATTACAGCATTTCATATATCCACTTAAGAGCCCCTTGAAAACTCTCATAAAAATTTGCTGTTGACCTCACACCAATATTTTGATAACTTCTAATTGAGCCTAATTGACTTCTTTACCAACCATGTAAGCCCCGAAACATCACTTGAGTTCAGGTATAACACAAAAAATGTTCTTAGCAACCACCAAAGGAATAAAAATCATATATACTTAAATACTTCTCAATTATCTGCTGCAACAGACATTTGATAAAGATACTTAACTGCCCGACCCGCTCGCCCTGTAAGCAGAACTCTTCAAAGAAAATGGCAATTACATCGCTTCATATGGAAGATTGAGTTGTGTCAAGATTAAAGCCTAAAAGTAGGAAGAGGGAAGGGTCTTATACAGCAATTGCTACAATCAGATGCGGTACACACACACACACAAGCCCATTCATAAGACTGAAAGAGAGAGAGAGGGAGAGAGAGACTTGTCAAATGCATTCGCTCGCCAAAGATATGAATACAATGGAAGACATTGGAGTGTGCATGGAGTGAAGCATATCGGAAATCGCGTAGCAACTTTTTAGGGCGCGACCGACAGAAAAGTCGTGACAAAGTCACAGAATGCTGAATACATTAAAATAACAACAACTGCGACTCGATGGCAACAACAACAGCAACAGCAACAAGAGACGGCAACAGTAGCTGGAAAGAAAACAAATTGAAAAACTATCGAACAATGATAAATTGGCACGAGCAAGAGGCAAAAAAAAGTCAACTAGAAATGTGAGAGTGTGTTAGTGTGTATGAATGTATGAGTGTATATGTGCATGTGTGTGTGGTGGTTAGTGAAAAGTTGTAAAAAGGGGCGGAGCTATAATGGTTTTCCGAGCAGCGACGCGGCGCTCAGTTGTCGCTTGCATGTGTCTGTCGGTCTGTGTATGTGTGTGTGTGTGTGTGTGTGAGTATGTGTATTTTTTTTAAGGGAAATTATTTGATTTTTGATATTTTGGGGTGTTTTATTGAGGTTTTTTGGGTAAAAATGCTGTGGGTAGCTATCTATGTATGAATGTGTGTGTGTGTGTGTGTGTGTGTGTTGGGAAAACTATTAAATGTGCTGCGGGGTGTGCATTGATACATTTGTGCATATATGTGCATGTGTGTGCATATGTGTGTGATTTTAGTATCAATGTTATTGCTGTTTTGATTTTGCGCTTGTAACTGCGATTTGACAGTTTTTTTTTTTTTGGGGTTTTTTTTCATCAATTTTGTTGTGTTTTGGTGTTTCTGCTGCGTCATGCGACAGTTGAAATTGAGCGAGCCACTTGGCAGGACACGAGCAGCAGCAGCGAAGTGCGCATGCGCCAGCGACTCGGCAAACAGCGCGAACTTAACGAGAATTTGTGCAATAGCAAAGTGAACGAAACGTGGTAGAACTTGACGACAATTGAACATTGAGATAATAACCTATAAGCTTTTGCTCAATGCAAGCAAAGTTAACCTTTTGTTGCAGAAATATAACAGTTTAATGAGTATGTGTTGTGGAGTTTTTCATTTTTATTTTTTTTTAACTCTTTTGCGACAATCAGTAAATTGCTTTGCAAAACGGGGATTAAATTAAGTGAACATTGGAGCTGGCTTAATATTAGCGGAATTACGATACGTATGTGTGTGGGTTGGAGTACCTAAGCCTAGAGGCTACTGATCCACGATGTGCGGGAGATCTAGTGGATGGTGATTTCTTTGCCTTCTGGTTGTGGCGCTGTTGTCAAGGAGGTTGATCGCTGTAGGGTTGGAGTGTCTGTTCAGGCAATGTTAAGAAGTCAGACTAAACTGTTATATAGTGTGGGAAAGAGATATATATTCTTGAGCTTGACGTTCAACGTTTCAATGACTATTTACTAAAGCAAACTTAAGCTGTTATATAAAATGATATATGTGTTATGGGTGAAGAATAGGAGCATGAACATTGTATGTGTAATTATATTTGCATTGTAAAAAAAACTCCTATTTTAGACGAATCAAATTGTGTTGCTGTATAACAGTTTGTTATATTTGCCAATTGATGTAAATTTATCAGATTTATCACATATATTGGGCAATCAGTTCATAGTTTGCCCCAATATATAAGCCATCTTTAGCTTCTATATAAATCTGAAGCACACTCACAATCATATATATGTACATATAAGTACGTATATATTTTATATATAATGCTTTATTCATGTATAACACATTGTTATATATGCCAATTAGACGCATTTTCTTGCCTCTCAGTATGTTATACAGAACTGTTTACACTCTGCTCCTGCCCATTTTCATTTAAGTAGACGCAGAAAAAAGAAATCAAATAAAATAACATCAAACTACCTTAGGCTTTATAAAAATCCCAAACACAGTCAGCCGCCCACACACACACACACACGCGTACACATAGACACCGACACACACACATGTGTATATAGGGAGGCATTTTTGCTTAACTCCTGCAAAGTACCAAAAGTGGGCGTAGATTGGGTGGGCAGGGGTTTTGGGCCTTCAGTGCTGAAATTGTATAAAAGCAAAGTCAACAACAGCAACAAAATCTACGAGAGAACCAATTTCCAACCATGGAAACTTAATTTATGTCTGCAGCATAGTTGAGAATATTTTTCTTCTGCCTTCACGTCGAGAAAATAGGGAAAAAAATTATTTTTCTTCTACTTTCTTTTTTTTTTTCTTTTTTGGGTTCATTTCGACATTTTTGCCTTTGCCTTTGCCTTGGCCCCTTGCCACAGACACAAACACTCACACATACAGACACACAGACGGTTGCATGGCAGCCTGTGCTGGCTGTTCGTCAGCCACTGCCCCCCTCCCAGCCCCGCGCAACCCGCCGCCCAGTTTTTGGGCCTTCTTCGTGTCGTTGTCGGCTTCCTTTTGCTTTCTTGAGAATCAAATTTATTTTACCAAGTCATGTTGAAGAAAATTTTTATAAGTTTTATGCGCAGTTCAAGTTGGGGCCGTCCAGAGGGGGGGGCAGAGACTGCTTGGCAAATATTACACAGGGCATGCATGAGTGTGTATATATATATGTGTGTGGGTGGGTGGAGAAAAACTTAGCGTGTGTGTGTGTGTGTGTGTGTGTGTTGGCCACACAAAATAAGCAAAATTTGTATTCCTTAAATCGGATGACTTTGTATAAATTTTCGTGTGCGGCAATGGGGTTGCAAGTGTGGGTGTATGTGCGTGTGTGTGTGTGTGCGGGTGTGGGTGGCAGCTGGGCGCACAAAAACTTTTCTATATATACAACACACACAAATATATATGTATGGGCTGTGTGCGCATGTATTTGTGTACATAATGGAAAAATTTTTCATAGAATTTGCACAAAAATGAAAAAGTGCTGGAAGGAAGAAGAAAAAAATTACAGAGCGCAAAGGAAAAGCAGAAGAAAAATGAAATTAAGCGCATAAGGAAATGAGACACAAAATGTTGTATGCCAGCTGTGCGAGTGTGTGTGCGTGTGAGTGTGAGTGTGTGTAGGTACAACATTTTTGGCAACATACTTTTGCGGCAAATAGAAATAAAATTGAATGGAAGTTACAGCATAGAGAGGGAGAGCAACAGAGAGGGAGAGAGAGATATATATATAGAGTGAGGGAGAGGATAGGGCAGCGGGTGGAGCTTAACACGATTTAAGCCTCCAGCTATTCTTGCCGTAGGCTCCCACCACATACATCTCCATCCCCACTCCCAACCCTGCCCCCCTCTCTTGACCAACCACACTAACCAGTTATAGTTAAACCCCAATAAAACCCATCGTAGTCCACGTACTATATTCAGCTGGCATGCTTAAGCTTCCTCGCAACTTTAGACACCCAATTAGTTTTTTGGGGCTTCTTTAATTAAAGTACATTGGCCTGATGCTTTGTCGTTCTTCCTCTTGTTCCGTTCCATTCACAGTAATATCATCCAAAATGGCCGCATCCATATATGCCACCCCACCGCCGGATCTGAGCAGCGAGGATACAGCGCTCTCCGATGTCTCCAACTCATCCACACTTAACACAAATCGCGGCGGCGGCAGCAGCAACAACAGCAGCACCAACACCAACAACAACAACAGTCACACACATGAAGCCACAGCAGCAACAGTAGCAGCAGCAGCAGCAACCACTGCAGCAAACACAGCAATGTCACCCACTCTGGAAGCGGAGTCTAAGCCACTTGGAAGCAACACAAATGAGACAGACATGGCAGCAGTCGAGGATGAGGTCGAGGGCGAAGCCGAGGCCGATGGCGAAGGCGAGGGAGAGGGCGAGGGCGAGGCAGCTGGCGGTCTGGATCAGACGGCGATGGCTGCAATGGCTGCAGCAGCAGCTAACGCAGCAGCCATGCAGCTGCAGCTGCTCGAGGCGCTCAACGACGCGGCCAAGAAGCGACGCAAGCAACACAATCCCAGTCGTCTGGAGGCGCTCAATCTGAGCGGCGGCGAGCAGGAGGAGAGAGCCGCAACGGGCACTGCGACAGCGGGTCAGGTGGACCCAGCAACAATCGACTACGAGGAGAAGCTGTCGAAGATGTTGCTGCCCAAGTCCATAGAGAAGCTAAAGGAGACATTCGAGCTGCTGCAGCAGCAAAAGCTGCAGCCCGAAGACATATCAGAAGCGGAGGAGAAACAGCAACAGCAACGACAGCGGCAGCAGCAACAAGAAGAAGAGCAGCAGCAGCAGCTAATTAATCCCTATCAGACCTACTGCAAGCAGTGCGGCGAGAACTTCGAGACAGAGTTCAAGCTCAGTCTGCACATGTTGCAGGATCATCAACAGCCACAGCAGCAACATCAACAGCAACAACAGCAGCAGCGGCGACAGTTGTCGTCCGACGAGCCCATGGACTTGCTGGCCTCCATCAAAGTGAAGCTGGAGCGCGCTGAGAGTCCCTCGCAGCTGGAGCTGCAGCAGCAACAGCAGCAGATGGAGCTGGCCAACGGGCATGCCGGCAACAACAAGGAGCACGAACTTTGGCTACAAGCCATGGCTCAGCAGCAGCAGCAGCAGCAGCAACACCAACAGCAGCAGCAGCAGCATCAGCAACTGCCCGGCATGCCGCCCGCTTTTGCATTTCCGCCAGAGGCTGCACTTGGCTGGCCACTTCTGGGCATGCCCGGCTTTGCCGGCGTCGATGGACTCAATCGTCCGCCGTTGCGCATCTTCAATCCGGAGGCCTACTGTGAGCTCTGCAACAAGGAGTTCTGCAACAAATACTTTCTGAAGACGCACAAGGCCAACAAGCATGGCATCTTTGATCCCGCCGGTGACTTGACCACGCCCAACAACAATATCAGCACCATCAGCAACAACAACAACAACAACAGCAGCAGCAGCAACAACAACCACAGCAACAGCAACAGCATTGGCATCAGCAACATCAACAACAACAACAATAACAGCAGCAGCAGCAGTTTAGCTTCCATCTTTCCAACGCTGCAAATGCCACGTGAGCCGCCGCCACAGAAACCTGAGCCACAGTTGACACCACCTGCACCACCGGCAGTGCACTGCGACATCTGCTCCAAGCGCTTCACCAACGTCTTTGCCATGCGTCGCCATCGCGCCAAGCAGCATGAGCAGGCCACGCCCACTGCCTCGCCGACGCCCAACGAGCAGACGCCGTCCATTGCACAGGCGGCGGTCAAGCAAGAGCCCACGCCGGAAGCTTTAGCCGTGCCGGAGCAGAAGCCGTACCAGTTGCCCGAAGGATTTCGCGAGGACTTCACGCTCGAGCAGGAGGAGGTGGCCTTTGCGCCGCCGCCTCGCAAACTGCCCAGTCAGCTGCAGCAGCAGGCGCGCGACTCCAACTGGGCGCCAGAGAAGCTGCGACGTCTCGGCGTTCAGCTGCCGGAGGCATTCTGTGAGCTGTGCTGCAAGGAGTACGCCAATCGCTACTTCCTGCGCACGCACAAATGGAAGCGCCACGGCGTCTTTGTGCCGCCCGAGGAGCTGAGCAAGGAGGAGCAGCCGCTGATGCCCGCTGGCTGGCCATTCATGCCACTGAATCTGATGCTGGCCAAGGCAGCTGCCGAGCAGGAGCAGCAACAGCAGCAGCAGCAGCCCGAGCAGGACGACGAACAGCAACCGCCGCCGCAGCAGCAGCAGCAGCAGCTAGAGGAGCAGCCCAGCAAGCGCATCAAGCTGGAGCCCTATGACGAGACGACGCCGCCACAGGACAAGCTGGATAGCTCCGTGGTGGGTCTGCAGAATCTGCAGAAGCTGCAATCGATGCTGCAGCAGCTCAACGACTTCAATGGCAAGCGCCCGCTGCCCTGTCACCTGTGCGGCCGGGAGCTGGAGCATCAATATGCCCTGCGTGCCCACTTGATGACGGAGCATGCCGGACAGCTGCTGCCCGAGGGACATCCCATGCTCTACCAGCAACAGCAGCAGCAGCAACAACAACAGCAGCAGCAGCAACAGTTGCCGCTGAAGCTATCGCCAGTGGGCGGCGCTGGGGGCTCTCCCAACGCAGTCACGCCCACCCCGAACGAGCTGCGCTGCCAGACGTGCGAGCGCGACTTTGCCAACTCACAGGAATTCAAGCAACATATCGCCGAGGTGCATCTGGGTCGTCTGCCCGGCAGCAGTCCGCTTCGCGAGGGCTTCTATACGCCGGAACGTGCAACGGTCGCCGCTGCGGGTGGCGCCGCTGGAGGCGTGGCACCCGGCACACCGCGTGCCGCCTACACCATCACGCCCACGTCCAGCTACTGCGAGATCTGCAACAAGGAGCTGTGCAACAAGTACTTCATGAAGACCCACATGCAACGCATGCACGGCATCGAGATCGAGAACGGGGCACAGATCGGCGGCGTCGTCTGCAACATATGCAACAAGGAGCTGTGCAGCAAATACTTTCTGCGCGTGCACAAGCACAATACGCACGGCATCATCGAGGATGGCGCTCCGCTGCCTCAGCCGCGTGGCAGTGCACAGAACGGCCTGAAAGTCGAGGCACAGCAGCAGCAGCAGCAGCAGCAGCAACAGCAGCAACAACAGCAACAGCAGCAGCAACAGCAGCAGCAGCAACAGTTGCTCGAGCCGGAGATTAGCCTAACGCCGCTGCGTGGCGAATCGAACGAGCTCTGCCCGCTCTGCGCCCGACAGTTCCGCAGCTCCAAGTGGCTGCGCACGCATCTGATGAACGAACACGGCGCCGCTGGCATCGAGAAGCTGCGCGAGCTGGAGCAGTCGGCCCTCGGCAGCAGCAACAACGGCAGCAGCAAGCCCGACAGTCCCACGCTCAAGATACCCAATGGGAGTGCTGCGGGCGCTGCCAACAATCTGGCCCAGGCGCTGCAGAACGCCCAGCAGCAGCTGTTCGGCCAGATGCAGTTGCCCAAAGGGATGCCGCTGCCGTTGCCCTTGCCGGGCATGTTCGAGCAGACGCCACGCTTCAAGGAATACCAATGCTCACTGTGCCCCTTCACCACGCCCTACTACGCATTCCTCTTCATACACGAGCGCTCCCATGCGCTTCTCAACAATGGAGGCAACGATGGCAGCGACGCTCCACTGGAGGCGGATCGAGAGAGAGCCTTTGGCGCCGTACAGAGCAAGGCCCGCAGCAAGCCGAGCAGAGAGCGTGCCCTCAAAGCTGAACGCTCCGAAATCGAACCCACAAATCTGACCACCAACAACAACAGCAACAACAGTAACAACAGCAACAACAGCAGCCACAACAAGGCAGGCACGCCCCCGCCCTCGCCAGGCGCCCCTGCCGCCTCGCCCAAGGCCCGTTCAGCCAGTGTGACTCCCAACCACAACTCCAAGCCGGGCACACCCAACGGTCTGCAGGCTCAGCGTTCGGCCGCCACCTCGCCGTTCGAGTTGTGCGCGGATCTGGCCAACGGCAGCGGCAAGCCGGCCAGCTATGCCCAGCCGGACAAGTCGGAGGAGGCATACCAGATGCAGGCCTTCCATCTGACGCCCGCTGATGCCGATGCCGAGGGCCTCTTTGCACCGGCGCTCGTTTATCTGCCGGTGCGCGTGCGCGCCTCGGAGTCGACCACACTGAGCTTCAGGCTGACACCGGCCTAAGCCCAGGCAGGGCTCAGAGGTCAACAGGTACCGAACACACAAATCACAACAACAACACTTAAGTGTTGCCAGCGTATGTAAGTTAAGATAAAAGAAACCCCAAAACCGTTTTTTTCAAAAGCAAACCAAACATGGTGCAATGACACGAGCTTAAACTGGGACTAAACTAAAAGAGAATCGTATAGGAAGAATTGATGAGCAAACAAAATATCTTCGATAGACCGAAAACAATAAGAGCATGAAATAATTAAATTATACAAGTTTTAAGCGGCAATAAGTTGGGTTTATCAAATCACATTTATTGCAGCTTTAAGCTTTAATGAACTCTGGCACTTAAATGCTAGACCATCCAATCAAAGCTACATACAAAGTGGGTGGGTCTTGATGAGAGCATCAAAAAATAAATGAATCTCTAAGTGAGACTAAGCCCATTTAATATAGCTTAAAGCTTATATGAACTTGAGAAACTTCAAACATCAATGAACTATTCGAGACGAAGATAAGCTCAATTTTTCCAATATCAATCTACAGTTAAAGCACCTATATAGCTCGTGTCATTGCATCATTACGATTGCTCTAGCCAGGCTACAGTGTTGGCTAGCAGTATTCGCCTCCCCAGCCCAGTTAAACCGACAAGAAGACAAGACAAAATAGTGGAACTACAAAAGACTGAGTGCGCATATTAGTTGAGCTCATTAAAGTAAAGTTTATATACAATAGCTATAGCTACAGCAGCTGCAGAGATCGAGTCTGCACCACTGTGGCACAAATGCATGTGTTTTGTGTATAACATAAAACCCGATACTAAAAACGATCTAAAAGCAAACAGAAAAAATCAAACTATAAACAAAATAATAAACAAATAACAACAAGTCCGTTTCAGCTGGCAACACTGTGTGCTAAAAACATATTTTTCTATATAAATCCATAAATGATAAACATAAAACATTGCATAACATACCAAAACAATACATATATCTATATCTCTAGTGATTAATATCAAAGTTCCTATGCGTAATAGTAATTTTTAAAAGCCATTAACGTATCGTAAACGGAAACGGAAAAGAAAGAAAGCTAACTTAGTCAAAGAAAAAAAAAAAAGAAAGAAAATACCATAAATCAAAAACTAAATTGAAAATTAAATACGTACATAATACATAAGTCGCAAAGCATGGAATAGAGAAAGAGAGAGAGCGAGACAGAGGAGAGCGATAGAGAAGGGAAAGGCGATATATAAATATACATACATATATAACCGAAACATATATCGTAGTCGCCAGCTTAACTTAGATAGTTGGACATAGGTGTGTCTATGGCTGGGTTCGGTGCGCTTAGCTTAAGGGATTTGGTATAATATATATATAGTAGTGCTAGTAAAACCTACAGAAAAGATAGGGGTAAACACATTGAAGCTTCAGCATATAAGAAAATTAAAAACGAAAACATTTATGCACAAATTTGCTCAAAAATCAAAAAGTAGTCGAAATCAAAATTAGGAGAACTAAGTAAATGATGGATTAAGAGATGGTGTGCTAATATATAAAAGACAGTTCCATAGTAACATATACTTAACTAACACTGAAAACTGCTCTTTTAAAAATTATCTAGAAAAACCTAAACACTATAGAAATTTCTTTAAATAAATATTATTTTTAACATATAGAACAACCTATGCCAAAAACTAACTGTATATATAGAACGAGCAACATCTATAGAGCAGAACCGATTCAGATTTGAGTAGATAAACCAGACAAATGGCGCCAGTAAAGACATTTTTTTGCTAATTTTTTATGCAGCAGGCAAGAAAACCAAAACAACAACAACACGAACAACTCAGGGCAAAAGTACAATGACCATTAGTACTTTAAATATACTAAACAAAATACTAAATGAAATATATATAAATGATAAAGCGAAAATAAATATATAAACAATTCCAAAGTTGAATATAAAAAAAAAAAAAAAAAAAAACAAGAAATGCTACCTCAGACGGACTTGAAAACAATAATTTAAATAAATGAATTTATATAATAAAATATATAAACATTTATGCTTATAAAAAAAAAAAATTAAAAAGAAACGAAAAACGAACAAAAAATACTGCAATTTATAGAGCAGCAAAGTAAATGAAATTTTTAGTGAATTTACCTCAAAAACAAAAACCAAACGAAACAACAATAACATGAAAAGGCACAAAACAATTTATATTTAGTATTTAGTTAAAAAGTATTTTTATTATTATTTAGTTTTAATTGTAAGTGAAACAAACCAAAAACAAAACGAAATACTAAAGCATTCCCAAAAAACGAAAACTGACCAAATTACGAAGCTAGTCGCAAAATACTAAAAAAGAAAAACTAAAGCAAAAGAAAAGACGCAAAAGCAAATCTAGTCAAAGTTTGGCAGCAGCCAGCCGAATGGCCTGGCCATTTAGGTATAGGTCTGCACCAGCTTATAGATGATATATACACCTACACATACACATGCAACCCATAAGCAACGTCAGCGAATTTGCATGAACTTTTCAGTATTTTTGGCGCAGATTTTTGTTTATTATTTTTGTAGTATTTAAGGCGTTTGTTCTTTACAAAAATCTGCGCAGCTGAATAGTGAATGCAAAATATAAAAAATAATAATACAAAAAATCAAAATAAATAACATACCAAAACCATAAACAATAAAATGCAGCGACGTTAGTTTTTTGCTATTTTTAATTTTATTTTTTAAAAACGTGTGTTTTTTAAAATGCTGCGTGCCTTTTAGCAAAAAACAAATGCGTCGCTGTACAACACTGAAAATGATGACAAACAAAACTAAAATAGCTAATCATAAAACATACATACATATATACAAAATATACCATGCAAAATACTAAACAATATTTAAATACATAGCTTCTAATTTTCATTTACAATTAAACATAATTATTTTCATAATTTTTATTCCAATTATTTTTATAATGTATATACATAAATATATATGAATAAACACGTGTATTTGTTACAAATTTAATTCAAATCATTTTTGTTAATTTTATTTAAAAATTTTGTTGTTGATTTCTATTTTTATACCCTGTTTTTAGTTTGTTCCTTGCCCGAGTTCTGCTGCGTGAATGGGCGGTTTTTAATTGACCACAAAATCTTATCGAGGCACACTTCAAAAACTGTCGTTGATTGCGCTCAATTAGAGTTCACACCCAATTGTGAACCTTTTTGTTGTTTTTTATTTTTCTTTAAAGAACTGAGAGTGATTATTTTTTATTTTTTGGATAGGGGTCTAGTTGATGCCGGCTGAACGCCTTTGATAGCAAATTATTGAATTGATATTTGATTGAATTTTCAAGCAAATGCAATTTGTCAACAAAGCGAGTCGTAGAAACATATTTATCCCAGTTATGTTTGTTTTCTTTCTATTTTTTAAATTCATACCACTCACAATTCGCCTGCAGCAGCAGCTGCCACAAAACGGAGGCACCCTCATAAAAATAAAAAATAAAATAAAATTTTGTGTGCGCCGCGCGCTTCCGGCTCAACCCCCACGCAAAGGCTGATTAGGCTATTTGCCTAAAAAATATATATGTATATGCTTTATGCATACCCTCCAAATGATTAGTAAAAAAAAAAAAAAAAAAAAAAAAAAAAATGCGATAAGCATTACAATGGAAAGTGTGTGTGTGTAAGGAAAATGGAAAACTCAGCGCACGGTCAACTGCAGCCGTTATGTATGGGTCAAGCGGCGCATTTTCCACATTTTCCGCATTTTCAAGGGAAAATTCAAATTGTGCAGCTGCTGGTTGTAAAAAAATTGTATGCAAGTAAAAATCAATATGGGCTACATGCTGCGATGCAATTGATTAAAAATATATGCATACACTCAGAGAAAAATATATATATCTCTCATAATACATTTCAGCAACTCTCATATTACATTTCTAGAATTTGAACAGTCTCTGAGTATGTTTCTTACACTAAGCATTTTCCGGCAGTCCAAGCAACCCCTCGCATAAACTACAAGTTGCATGGGACACTACTTCAGTATATCCCAAGCTTTCATCATATTCTTAGCAACTAATTTCTCCAAGTGCTTACGCTAGACGGTAATTCAAGCCTCAATTCCTATCGCAACTACACGAATTGTTATCCAGAAATCTTTGGGCAATCCTCTCAGGAGTTGCTTAGTTTTGCCAGCTAAACACCACTTGATTTCTCCGAGTGTATGCCGCTGTCCGGCAACCCTCCGTTGGCTCGCGGCCTTTTTCGTTAATTATTTGTCACGTGTCCATGCAAATTTCATCTCATTGATTACGCGCAGAGGACATTCGATACTCTCGATGCAATTAAAGCTACAATTTTCTATAGATTTTTATAAATATATATACATATATATGTATAGTACATATATGTGTGTGTGTGAGTCTGATAGCAACCCTCGCTGGGGCACCCTCCGTTCCGTCTTTTCCTGTGGCCATGCAAATGTTTTTCTCGATTTTCTATTGAATTTTTATGGCTATTTATAATGGACTGGCATTTGGCATTGTTCGGCATAATCCTCGCCCAAAAAGTTGTCCGTCCCGGGGGGTGGCTGTCACAATTTGCATGTTTAAAAAGATGGGTGTATGTGTGTGTGTGTGTGTGTGCAGGAAATGCAATATAAATGCAAGTATGAGTTGATGTGAAAAATGAAAAATGCAATTTACTTGACAACGCGACGTTTTCCTCCACAATTTCCCGCCAAAGCAACTAGCCCTCACTCGCTCTCTATCCCTCTCTCTCTCTCCCTACTCTTTCTTTCCACTTGCAAAATATTGTATATTCCGCGCCATTTGCCAAATTTTCTATGCAAATCGAAGCGTTGCTGCCATTAAATAAAATGACTTTATTACAATTTCTCATATTGATAAATCGCAGACAGAACTTGGGCTTGGATTATTTTTGATTTTATTTATTTAATTTTTTTTTATATACACCAAAGAGCGCACAAATCAAAGTCAAAAACAAAAAATCAAAATGAAATATATATTAAAAATATTACATATATAGAATATATATATATATAGTATATAGTAGGCATGCTATATATATGTTGGCTAAGTAAACAATTTTACAAAGAACTTGCAACGTACCTTTAAAGATGAGCATAAATCAAAATTTTTGGCCGCCAGCCGAAGCAAAAAATCAAAAAGAAAACAAAAACAGCAACAAAACTTTTATTAGATTTAAGAAAAAAACTCCACAACAAATGAGATCAAAATCAAAATTTAAACAACAAAATCAAAAACAATTTAGTTCTAAGCAAATTTCAAAAGAAATTTTCATTGAAAAAATTTATTATTAATTAAAAAAAAAAAAAAAAAAAAATGATGTTGAGTTAAGTTAGGAGCATGAAATCAAAAACAAAGCAAAAGTCAAAAGACACGAGCGAAAATCAAAAATTATATTAAATATATGAAATCAAAAAAGAAACAAAAATTTATTTTGCAATTGGCAAATATACATATATATAAATATATATTATATTTAACATTTTACTCTTCGAAACCCCCCCAAAAAAAAAACTTTGTTATTATGTAAAACTATGTGTGAAAATTCCGGAAAACAAAAATCAAAATTAAAAAAAAAAAAACACTTAAAAGTAATTATTTATATTTATATATATATTATATGTAATGTGTAACAACAATTTAATGAGCCAGAATCAAAAGCTATTGCAGCAAATACCCTGTAATAACCTCTCACCCACTAACCAACCCAACCCGCTCCCATCGATCCCCGCCCCCGCTCCCACCCCCTGTAAGCGAGAGCATTTATTAAAGAAATTGTATGTGTTTTAATGATTATATTAAATATATATACACACAACCATATACATATATATATTGTATGAATTTAAACCATTAAATATAACAACAAAAAACAGAAAAAAAAATCGAAAATCTCTTTGCTCTTATCTTTTCCTATTACAGGCCTTGATTTTTCCCCACTAAGGCGATTGTTGTCGCACTCCAAGACTTTTGACATTTTCTTTCAGCCATGTGTATAGCATATAAGTATATACCATATCGGAACAGTCGCCATTTCCCACCACCCGCTAGCAACTACCCCCAGGCACAAATCAGAGACTGTCAATATTTGTATTACATGCGAGAATGTCTTATCAATAATTTTTGGCTGTAAAGAATAGTAGATGCTGCTCAACATTTCTGCCGCAGGCGGCGAAATGGAAAGGAATTTGGGGGTGTGGCGTATGCGCGCGCGTGTGTGTGACAGACAGTTCAATAGAAGAACTTTTCCTGTTCATAATTTTTGCCCAAATACTTAGTTGAAATACACACACACACACACATATATATATATACTTATCTGTCTTTGTATAATGTAATGTGTATTTTGTGGCAGCACTAACATGCGAGGGGCGTCACTCAAGTTGTTTGTTTAGTTAGCGCCCCGCCCCAGCCCCCCTCGCAACACAAACCATTCAACACTTGGTCTATCTTAGCCCACAGCACATAATGAGCTGCCTGGCCTAAGTGCTGGCCAATGCCCGACTAGGGCTGGTCATTAACTCAAAAACCAAAAACCAAAAACCGAAAAAAAAAACTAATACAAGTTGAAAATTAGTTTTTAATCGATTTTACAATCACACACGCAGCAATCACACTCCGAATTGTACAGCCCCAAATACACGCACACCAATCAAATATACTGCTCTCTATATACAGCTCTAGACTCTGTATACCTTATACACATACATACATATATGTATTATTTGTGAGCCTTGTGTATATAATTTGGACTCTCAATTAAATTGTGCAGGCGGAGGCGAGCGACAAGCGGCGCCAAACACAAACAACAACGACAACTATTTTGTCACCATATGCTTTGGCACCATTTTCGAATGTCGTCGCTGTGGTGCGCTGTAACGAAACCACTTAAAGGG